GTAACTGAACGCATTAACCATAAATGTGACTGCCATGTCTTTCCCAGCACCCTTAAAGTATTTAATTTGCTTGCCTGTAATAGATTGTCAGAGCAGTAAACGTAAGGCAAGTAATGTAAATGGTGTAATGATGATAATTATCTGAATGGATCGATCGGAGTGTTATTGCAACGTGATATTGTGGGTAGAAACGAGATACAGACATCCCATATACATTCCCATTTTCAACTTTATTTCCTTATGTATTATTTCCCAAGATTTTTCAAGTGAAAGCAGTGTAAGCTGGCATTGCTGTTCTCTCCTTTATCTCTCCCCATCATCCTCTGTGCTGTTGCCTTATAAAACCAGCAGACCCCAGGGAAGCTAAATTTCTCCAGAGAAAGCAGTGACTTTATAAAACTGAAATTCTAGCAGTTTCTCCATTATTCATGGTATCCAGATATTTGAACCGGAAGTCGCTTTGTAGATTGGCTAGTATGTTCCCTTCACTTACTAACTACTAAGGAACTGTAATCCCAGAAAGGTTCCATGACTTGTTGAAGGTTACACAGACTGCTGTTGCCAGGTAAACTGCAGCGGGTAGAACCGGCCCTCCCACCTGGGCTGGGCGGGGAGCTGAGGGGTTACACCGGCTGCAGGTCTGAAGGGGGTTCAGTGTGACAGGCCAGAACAAGCCCTGGAGAAACCAATAGCAAGTCAGGAAAAGCTTTCCGTTTAGTTTGGGTGGGTAATGAAATGATGGAACTGTCTGAGGATAACCAATACTTAAAAATCTGAACAGATGATCAGCATGAGGGCGGAAGGATTGGGCTATGTGGCAGATGTCTGTCCATGATGAAAATGGAAAGAACAGTGTAGGATCCCACCTGAGGGACAGGAGTGTTGGGAGAGGGTTGCTAAAACAGGGATTCGAGCCCAGAGGAAAAATATCGAAGCCAAGTATTAGAATGGAAAGTTGAAGAAGAAACAGGGATTTAAAATCCTTGGATTTGAAAGATGCCCAGGTCGGGATGATCTGACAGTGGCATCCAAACAGACTGTTTACTTCAGCTTTTGTGCCCCATCCTGGTTCAGTGACACCACATCAGTTTCATTGGTAAGTAACAAACGGGCCTAAATCTGAAACTTTTCATACATCTGCCAAAAAAAAAAAAAAAAAAATTCAAATCATCAAAGCACAAATAAAACCAGAAAACAGAACACTAGAACTTCAGTTGCTGTCCGCAGAAAAATAAACACCAAATACTGTACCCACAGCACTATCCACAGCGAGGCTGTGTGTGCCAGGGCAGGGTGGTAGCAGAGGGTACAAGGAAAGCACTCCCAGGATGAGAAGGTCTGACACCACAAGCTCAAATCTCAGTACTGGCTGTAGGGCAGGGCTTGAAAGTGTACAGGACCTAAGGTGACCATCTCAGCGAGGCCATGATTCTGGGGGAAACGAGGCTGAGAGGAAAGGTACCATCTGAAGATGTGACTGTGAAGGGAAAAAGAAGAGGGAAAATTTCAAGATGCTGTGGAAATAAAAGAGAAGTATAAGACCAGCCTCCCCGGTCATCATCCAGCAAAGAGGCTAAAACAGGGGTGTATAGGGCAAGGGTGGAAGAATAGTACGTGAAAGTGATAAACTGATAAAACAGAAAGGATGCAAGTAGAGAACTGGTAGGAAAGAAGGCAGGGGAACAGTTGATTGTTGCATATATAACAGGAGGGGGGCAGGGCACAGGATTTTAACGATGGTAAGAACAAAGGGAGTGATGGGCCCTAGGAGAGAATCTGTGAGAGGTGGAAGGGGTGATGTCGGAGGGTTAGGAGAGGAAGTGACACCTCGCTCCTTTTAGTGTAGTTTTGACTTTTGGAATCATGTTCATGTTTTCCATATTCAAAATATAAAATGAAACCAATGAGAAGAGGAGAAACTAAATTTGAATACTATCAGAAACAAATGACCTGAACTGAATTTCAAAATAAGTTTTCTTTTTTTGAAACAATTTAAACATTTTTAATTGAAGTATAGTTGATGTACAGCCTTATATGTTACAGGTATACAATATAGTGATTCATAGTTTTTAAAGGTTATACTCCATGTATAGTTACTGTAAAATGTTGGCTGTATTCCCTGTGTGGTACAGTGTGTCCTTGTAGCTTATTTTATACGTAGTAATTTGTACCTCTTACTCCCATTCCCCTATATTGTCCCTCCCCCTTCCCTCTCACCAGTGGTAACCACTAGAGTGCTCTGTATCTGTGAATCTGCTTCTTAAAACATATTTAAATCTAAATAAATTTAAATTGAGAAAGAAGCAGATGTTAACTTCCTCACAATTTCTCTGAGTCTCATAAAGAATATTCATAAATGCAACCCTTCCAGCTTCAGTTTCAAATAAATAGTGTAGCCACACTAAGGTGTGAGGGGTGAGAAAGAGCCAGTCTGGTATCTTTTGAACACAGTATTTTTACTATATACCTGCATTCTAAAGAAAAAGCAAATGTGAATTCTTAGTACTATTTTTTTGTGGTGTGACCATTTCGTACGCACTTTAGGATTGAAGAAATGAGAAAATATAATGATGTCAGCAGCCCATGCTCTCACTCTAGAAGAAGGAAGATACAAATATGAAAAGGGAGGGCAAGGAGGAAGTCAGTGGGGGGTTGTGTGTGTGTGTCCACACGTGTGCATGCATGTGCAAGGAGAGAGGGAGGGGAAGAGAAGAAGAGAAGGGAGAAACGCTTCCTTCCACTGAAAGAGACTAGGAGCGGTGATCCCTCAGTAGTAATTTGCACACATTAATATCCAGGTCTTAGTTTCCAAATATCATTGCCCAACTAAAAAGAAGCAGGATTCCTTGGAAAAATGGCTGCTTTCAGGGATGGGGCACCAGACAAGCAGAATGGGCATGGAACATTTCCCTGGCCCAAAAAAGAAAGAACATGTTTTAAAAATGAAGGAAATATGTCAAAGGGCACAGCTTAGAGATTCACCTTCCCAAAGCTGAGAAAATTGAGCATCAGAATAAATACTGAGAGTGCAGACATAGCCCTATGAATAATAAAAGAATCCATGTATTCATACTGATAAATAAATAGGAAAAACACTTCCTTATGACATCATGCAAACTCGTAAATGTAGGCAGAAAAATGGTAGAAATCATTATTTTCAACCGAAGTAATTGTTGATCCAGGCAAGATTCATGGATGGTTGCTAAAATAAGTAGATAAAAGTTTGATGCAGAATAGGAGATTTTCATAGTCTCAAAGTACGTGCCCCCAATTTACTTATTAATTCTAAAAGGAAAGATAGTAAATTTACAGTGGAGAGATTTGGAAGACTCCACCTTAACCAAGTGATCAAAGTTAACATGTCCAATCATGGGACAAATGGACATGACACGATTCTGATATGATGCACTGAGAAGGACCCAGTATCATTTCTGTGCCATTACTGCCAGGTGTGCAGGAGGAAACTTGAAGGAAACCCAAATTAAGGGGCATTCAGCAAAATAATTGCCCTCTACTCTTCCAAAAAAAAAAAAAAAGGAAAGGAGGGAGCGAGGGAGGGACAAACAGCATAGACGACAGCTCTTCCAGATTACATGATCTTGGATGAAGGACAAATAGATGATTTGTCCTTCATCCAAGATCAGGTCCCAATCCTGGAGAGCATTCTAGGTTGGAAAAAACTTTTGCCATAACGACATTATTGGGACAATGGATGAATTTGGAATAAGGACTATAGGTCAGATTGTGGTGCTGTATTAATAAACACTGTATTTCCTGACTTTGAAAACTATACTATGGTTGTCTTCGTTATTGGGAAATACACACAGAAGTAGTTAGGGATAAAGAGCTCACTCTCAAGTTGCAGGAAAAAAATTGAAAGAGAAAGAAAGCGATACAGGAAATGTGGCAAAATGTTAACAATTGGTGAATCTAAGGAAAGGGTACGCGGCAGTTCATTGTACCATTTTTGCAAATCGTCTGTAAGTTTGAAATTATTTCCAAAAAAAAAGTTGAAAGAAACTATAACGGGAAAATGTGAATCTGTGTACCTCCTAAAAATCATACCATAGTTTTGAAAAAAATGATCTAAAGGTCTGTACGCCCACTTCTAAATGTCAAGGAGGGCTGTCATGAGGGGTGGGTAGAGCCAGGTTTCCTTGGGAGATTGGGATGGTGATCACTGTGGCAGCCATGGGATGGGTTAACTTATACAGTTCAGGATTCAGGTTGGGGCCAGCAGTGGCCAAAGTGAACCCAGGTCACCAGACACAGAGGGCAGTTTTCATGCCACCATTCCATGCTTCTTCTAAAACCTGATGTGATTGTACTGTATACTTTTGTTCCCTTATTATTCTGCTGGTAACCTAGTAACCATATGCAACCTAGGATCCTACAGTAACTTATTTAACATTAAGGTACCTACAAGGCTCTTAGGAGCAGGAAAGCAGTACTTTTAAAAAGGCAGGGGGAGGGGCGAGGGACTCTTAAGTATGTTCAATTCTTAAATTTCTCATTATAGTCTCATGTTCAAAAGTCATTGATTAACCTAGAACACAACATGTTTAGTTTGCTTGTGGAATTACGCTTTCACGAATTTACCTGAGGTTCTCTTCTGTGACCTAAACAAATACCAGCTTGTGAAACTGTGACGGGTCTTAATGAAGTGGATTAAGGCATTTTTTCCATTTACATTTTCACAGAATGAAGTAAACATTATAATCTTTTTCACAGAACACTCTCGCATCAGGCCATGATTTGATTTTCTACCTCTTCAAAATATCAAGTTTTGCATTTCTTTAAATGCTAATGCCTTTTTGTGAACTATAAGACAGGAGTCATCCCTGAGAGATTTATAATAGTACTTAGAGCAAACTCGTCAAAGATTCTTCTACAGGAGTGTTTCGGATCCTGAGGAGATATATTTAGTAACTGTATTGAAGATGTCACGTAACACAGCATTTCATTGATTTATCTGTATTATTTTTGTATCTCTACTGCAGGCAGAGAATTCAGCGTTGGCTTTGGAAAATGAAAATCAAAGGGAACAGTATGAGAGGTGTCTTGATGAGGTAAGGGGAGCGGGGTGCTTCTGGATAAGAGGCTGGACTGTTTAGGATTCCCTATGTCAGATCTTAATGTGTGTCTATTACCGGTCTCCAGAGAACATTAGCATTTTCGCCTTCAAAGGAAGGCTGTAAACATGGTGAATGTGGAGAAGGAAGGTCAGTCAGTCCCCTCCCCCTCCCTCCCTATATCCTTATCTGGGCATCTGCAAATTCCTCTTGGTTATTGTTTAATATGCTTGGGGCATAGGTTGGGAGATGCTTCACCGTATGATAAATTCGTCCTGTCCAGTAAGTGTGATCCCAGCCCGTGAATGAGAAAAGCCACCTCAGGGCAGGCTGCATCGCCTCCAATTGGATGCCATTTCTGAAAAAGCAAATCCTTGATAGAGTGGGTGGGGACGATGTTCACAGTTGGCAGCCAGAGGGGAAAAACCAGTGGATTGAGAACAAGGCAAGAAGAGAAAGGGAAGTAAGGAGGAAAATTTGAGCAGAATGGAAGGAGACAGGGCCACACACCTGAGTAAACTGGAGAAATGCGATTCGACGACGATGAAGAGATGACGGCAGAGATGGTGGGTGGCTCAGAGTTCCTGAGAGGGGAGGGAAGACTGAAGTGTATGCAGGGCCCTGGTTTTCCCCTCAGCCATCCCCTCACACGGCGCCAGGGATCGTACCACCCATCTTTCCTATGTCATCCAGCCAGGACTGGCCGTTGGCCTCCCTGACAAGCTCTTATCTGGGACTTGGTTGGTGATTGGAGTTACTCATTTGATGGGATGACTTCTCTAGTCATCTGCCTGATACCCTAAGACTTGCACATATTCTTCTAAGAGATTCTGTTTAAGGGCTGTTATGATATAGCTGACGGAGATTTTAAGAAAATAAGAAAAATTACATTCAGTCGAGTTCTGCTACCTTACCAGTGGAAACTAGCAATGTATCTTCAGTCTTTGCCTCTTCACTAACCATTGGGAAAACCTTTTCTGACAAACGCTCTTGAACTTCCTTCCCCCTTCCCTCCCCCAGTCCCCCCATTGATTGTCCCGGAAGGCCATGGGTTGAATGACAAAGAACACAGGTTCAAATCCCAGTTATGGCATCATCACCTCCGCCATGTACTCCTCTTCTCCCTTGAAACTAGAAATGGTGTTTCCTTCAGAGTTCCACCTGTGCTGGATATTTTCCTACACCAGTGCTTCTTGAAATGGGATCCCTGGGCTGGCAGCATCAGCCTCATCTGGGAACTTGTTAGAAATGCAAATTCTTAAGCCCTGTTCCCAGCTGTAGAGAATCAGAGACTCTGGGAGTGCACGTGGGCCTGGCTATGATCGATCTGTATATCAACAAGCTCTCCGGGTGATGCTGTTGAGCCCTGCAAACTAAGAGCCATTATCCTCATAACACAGACCACTTTGCTTCACAGTTACTTGTTGAAGAACCCTCAAAATGTCCCCAGAAAACTGTTTAGCTATTTAAGATTTTAATTGTTTCATATCTCCAGCCATATATATTAGTTACTCAAGCAAAATGGTGTTTGCACTCGTCTGCCGTGTCAAGACTTAAAAGGACTGAATAATCTTTACGCCGTCCAAAGTTAAAAGAATCGCTCAAGTAAGTTGACATAAAGGGAGGAGTGGTGACTCAGTGTCTAGTGAGGCCAGTTCAGCCCCCTCCCCCCTGTTCCCCAGGTACTTGGTCCAATCAAAGTTTAGGGCAAGAAAGACCAAATAGATCCAAGGATATTTAAAGGAACAAATATTGCCCTTGGGTCATATGTATTGATCAGCAAAGTTCCACTTTAACCTCCTGCACAGAAATTTCCAGTGAGACTTAATCTGCATTTAGAAGTCAAATTTACGTGAATCACACCACAGAAACTTCTTAGTTGTCACAATTTTCCCACAAGTCATCCCCCCCCATCACTCAAAAAGCTCCCAGCATTCCTTTCTGGAAATTCACAGCCTGCCTTCTGTACGTTCTCTATGCCTGCATTCCGAGGGTGTCATTAGCATGTGTCTGGTGAAACCGAAGTTTTCACCCACAAAATCATTGAGTATAAAGTTTCCACTGAAGACAGAATTTTCAGAGGGGGAATCCCACTGTACTTTTTTGTTGTCGCTCTTTTATTTGACGTGAGAACGGTTTTATTTAAATCATCGATCACTGGTGCAGTACTCAATATTAGGACTTTGAAATGATTTAGACAAAGTCTGTTTCCTTTTAACAGATTAAAAAACCGAACCCTAGTTGGCAGAAGCTAATGCTTGCGTCACACAGCTAATGGGAGGTAGAATCCTAAAATCTGCTTCCAACTGCCACCTGTACCTGACAACGCCAGGCAAGGTGTTTATTTTTGTGTCGCACAAGTGTAAGGACCATATAATCTGGATTAACTTTATGACAGTAATTTAAAAGGTAGAAAAGGGTCCCATATTACAGAAGTTTTTAAATTGACTATCTTACCATTTATATTAACACAATAAATGAAGAAAAGTGACAGCAGAACAGGCCAGCGGTCAGCCAACACACAACACAACGTGTTAACAGACGTGGCCAAAGGATCGGTGCGTGTCATGCATTACCTTCCGTGTAACATCTTTTTTGGAGGGGGGGAGGGAACATAAAGGTGGATTGATTCAAACTAGCCCGATTAAATACATCTGTTACGTTTATACTTTCTTCTGAAATTAATATTTGAGTGGAACATGTATGAATTGTTCACATAACACCAGCTTTCTACCGAAGTTTAAGGGTCCGGCAGATGATGTTCACATTTGGGCAAATCCTAGGAGCAGTCGCACTGGACAGTATCCACTCAGTCAGTTATGAACTGCAGACTAACACTGGGTAAGTATTTCAAAGTATGAACTACAGATGTGATATAAAAAGAAACATAGAGTAGAACAACTTTCTAACTTTGAAGTACAAACGGTTAAGTCACCAGTACCTACTCCCACACAAATTAAACAAAATCAGAATAAACACTCCACTTTTAGGAGAAGCAGTTTCAGTCCCGGTTTTACCACTTATTAGGAGAAAGATCTTACGTGGGTCCTTTCATTCAAGGATGATTTGAAAACCAATTCACAAAGTTAATATCTTGGATCCTAGCTAAGAAAACTCTTCAAGGATCTTTCATACTAACTTGAAGTTGGGGAACATACGATTTGAGAAATTAAACAATACCGCCCCTCATGCACACCCAGGTTACCCACAGTGAGTCCGGATCACACTTCAGTTCCTAATGACCTAAGTTAAGAGCCTCCTTTCTCCACATCTCTTATCCCGCGATACTCGACGTGGGCTACAGAACACAAAACCAACCTGTGTTCTATGTGGCACCACCTGGCTGATTCTGATACCTAAGTGTGCACAGGATTGAGTTAAAAAGCTCTTCAACTCATCAAAGAAAAGAAAGAATAAAAATAACACCCTTAGCTTACACAGGCTTAACCTACGTTGATCACCTAGTAAATCTTGAATTGGCTCCCGTTAGTGGTAAATAGAATACTTTTGTATTTGGTGTAGAAACCAACAAATTTAGGTTAAATCAAGCCTTCACTCTGACAGTACAAACTATGTTTATTTGTGTGTAATGTGCCAGTTTTATATGCAAATCATAAGTAAACTTTAAAATCTGAAGCAGTGAGTCTGATGTCTTCCTACTGCCTTGTGGTAGTAACTGTTTAATCCTGCTGGATCAAACTCGCTTGACTCCCCACACTTTGAGGCCAAGGAAGGTGCTGTTAAGAGCCAGGGGGAAGTCATGTACAGCCAGCCTGCTTGGAAAAGCCAAACATGGACAAGATCTTTCGTAAGAATCCGAGTAGCTCTTGTCAACGCTTTCAACCTAGGTGACCCCACTAGCATTAACAGGATTGATTTTGAGGTAGCTACACAGTTTTAAAGATGCCATTAATGAAAATTATGGGCAATTTATGGTATAGCCGGTTAATACCGTTCAGGTAGCTGATGTTTTTCTCTTTTGGTGAGAAGGAAGAAAAGAAAACTCAGCAAAATAAGAGCACATCTTCAGTTCACTTAGAAGTCAGCATCCAAGGTAAAGGAATTCTCTGTCGCACTGGACATCACTCCCATCCTCTGATACTCGCCTACTCTCTTCTCAGAGAAGTTAGTCTTCCCTTCCAGTGAAATATCCTCCATAAAGTCACATGGATTTTCTACTCTGAAAACCTTGCTAAAACCCAGCTCCAGCATAAGCCTGTCTGCCACGAATTCGACGTACTGCTTCATCAAAGCGCAATTCATCCCAATGAGCTCCACTGTCGGGGCCTCCGTGAGGAACTCGTGTTCTACCCTAGCTGCACTGACGATTATTTCTTTGACTGTCTGCTCCGAAGTTTCGTGTAGCAGGTGTTTGAACATCAGGCAGGCAAAATCACAGTGTAAACCCTTGTCTCTGCTAATAAGTTCATTGGAAAATGTGAGGCCGGCCATCAGTCCTTGTTTCCTGAGCCAGAATATCGATGCAAAAGAACCAGAAAAGAAGATTCCTTCTGCTGCGGCAAAGGCTACGACACGTTCTCCGTACGTAGCCTCTTTGTCTTTGATCCGGCGCAAGGCCCAATCTGCCGCCTTCTTTACACAAGGCATTGTCTCAATGGCATTGAAGAGGAATTCCCTTTCTTTGGAATCTTTAATGTAAGTGTCAATGAGGAGACTGTCCATTTCAGAATGTATGTTTTCCATGGCAATTTGGAAGCCGTAGAAATAACGGGCTTCCGTAATCTGAACTTCTTGGCTAAGCCGCTCCACCAAGCTTTCATTTACTATGCCATCACTTGCTGCAGAGAAAGCCAGAACACGCGAAGTGAAACATCTCTCCTCAGGCTTCAGGGTTTCCCAGTGCTGAATGTCCTTGGAAAGGTCCACCTCCTCAGCTGTCCAGAAGGAAGCCTCCGCTTTCTTATACATCTGCCAAACATCACGGTATTCGATAGGAAAGATGACAAAGCGGCGGGGGGTTTCTTTCAGAAGAGTGGTTCATCCTCCACCCTGGGGGCAGATGGCTTAGGGTTCGGCTCGGCAGGCTCCTGGCAGATCCTCCTTGCGGTCCCACTGAGCGACGGGGGAGTGTCCTCCCAGTCCGCCAGGCTGAGCCCCTTCATAGGCGAGAGCTGGAGGAGATGCTGCTGATGCAGGCCAGCCACGGTGGCGGGCGGGACGCCAGGTGGGACTGCGTGCAGGTCCTGGGCCCTCCGTCCTTAAGTGCAGAAGTTTAACTGTTGCCAAAGAGGGGATCTGCAATAAAGAACCACCTGTGAGCAGCACAAATGTTCTGTATTCATGAATCCCGCCCCCTGATTACACATGCCTGTTGTTTTGTAACTAATTGCATGAGAGTAGACAATCCATTTCCATGCATTGTAAGAGAACACTCTCAAAGGGGTAGTTGAATGTAGTAATAATGCCAACTGGAAATTCTTTTCAAGGCTTTTCATACTAATTAGACAAACTAACAAGGTAAGGCCTCATGTAAGTTATTTCCTTGCTAATGGGTTTCATGAAACATACACAGGTGGATAAAATGTAAATTTGAAGTGTTCTTCAGTCCCTTTTGTACTGAGTGTTATTTTCTGGGAAATGAACATATTGAGGTGCTTAGTGATTTTTATTTATACATGTATTTTACACACACACACACACACACACACACACACACACACACCCCATCCCTTTACAAATAAAAGCCCTTCTTCTCAAACCATCCTTCCTTAACTGCTTACCTGAAAATGTGTTTTAGTTTCTGAAGTTTGAATGATTGGATTCAGATTTAACATTTTTGGGGTGACTGCTTTTGATCAGGTACTGCCCAAGGTGCTTTCTCTGATGATGTCTATCATCTCATGCTTTTTTTCACAATTTTAGAGGCAGACGGTTCCCCTGCTTGACAGATGAGAAAAATCAGGCTGCTTCCCCACCCCCATACATATCAGTGAATGACCAACACAGGCAGTATTTGAACCCAGGTCTTTTTTGTGATTCTGCCCCAGTGCTCTTCCCACCTGCCCCCAGCTGCCTTCCTACAGTAAACCAAGCTCAGAAGCAGAGAAAACTTCTCCAAAGCACATTTCCCAAAAGGCGCGCTTTAGCCACCAGGTTTGTACATTACGTTGCTGACATGACAGTGGCTTGGCATGATAAAGTAGCGCATAAAAGGGTGAGAGCAGGGCCACCAAGCAGGAGGACAGGACCGTTAAGCATGGTGTCCGCTGAGTACCTTACGCGCCCCACCCTGGACCCCATCCCCGACAGTCTTCAGGATGTAGTGAGCATTGGCTCCCTCTGGAATAAACTCATTCAGCCTCAGGGACTGTTTGGCAATAAAGTAACAGACAACTCTGCAGCCCTGATTCTCCTCTCTCTGCCCTCCTCCCCCATCCCTCTTCATCTGACAGGGAAGAAGAACAAAGATGTGTGTGGGTCACAGATGAGCCAAGTGTCAGAGGAGCTGGCTTGTCTGAGAGAATTCTTACGGAGAGCAAAGGAGAGATGTACCTGGCCGCTCTTCTTGGCACCCCTGTTCCTCCCGCCCGGCTGCCCCGCTGCCCACACCCCTGCTCCTCTTCTAGATTCAAAGAGGGAGGTTTCCACAAAGAGCCTAAGGGAAGTTGTCAAACAAGCCAGGGGCTTAAGGACCGACTGTCACCTTTGCTCAGTGTGTCTCAGGTCCCCATGGCCCAGCCCAGCTGGTCTTTTTTCTTTCTTTGGAGAGGAAAGCTGTCAGCTGACACTAGAATGTATTTGTTCTCATTAGCTGGGCCTGCCGGGGTGTGATTATTTGCAACCTGAGTGCTAAGGGCAAGATGCTATGATGAGGGCAGGGGCCCATTCCAGGGATCATCTTGTGAACCTATTAGAGGTTGCAGGCACCAGCTCCAGTTGTTCTGTTGATGCATCGGGGAACCTGAGCTGTTAAAAGTAGTAACAAAACCCAGGAAACTATCTTTAGAGACAGTACCAAGGAAAGCATGTGTATCACATGCCTGCTTTTCTGCAAGGAACCTGTGAGCCCTTCTGGGTAATAGAACCCCATGTCAGTAGGTAAAGAAACAATGCATTCGTATATCTTTGTTCAGTTTTCAGGTAGAGCAAACAATTGTCCAAAGTACGTGCCAAAAGGAACTGTATCAGAGATAGAGTCTATAAGCCTATAGGGCAAACATATTGGATTGCAAAGATATAACATATTTACTGCTACAGGCTCTTACAGATAAGGTATTCGTTTATGACTCCTGCTAAATCATGTAGAGAGCTATTTTATGCGACCACTGTGCCACAGACTGGTTTAAGTGAGGGACCAGTTCGGAGGAAGAAAAGAAAATATTGATATTAGGCAGTTTTATGAGAATGTAAATCAAATCTAAAGTTTGCTATCCAAAAGAATTAAATTATTTATGGTATAAATTAAGTTTGGTACATTGTTCCTGATTTAAGCAGCATGAATAGTTCAATTCTTCTGTTTTTTTTTTTTAATTTTCAAGAATAGAATAGATGGTATATAGTTTGACTTTAAATTCACAGTTACAAATTGAAATGAACATTTAAAAACTGAAAGATTTTCAAGATTATGCTATTGGTCAATTTGTGTCGGCCGAATAACATTTATCACCACTGTGATCATGTATAAATAAAGTAATAAAGGAAAAAGTAATGGCACCAGTTACGGAAAATACAATTTATTTTGGACTATGATAGTTCTTAGATATGCTTCTTTAACTTGGGCAGGACTAAAAAGCAAAATACCTAAGAATACTTTGTCTTCAAAACTGTAGTTAGTTTCAACGAAAGGCCTTTCTTTTTTACTTAACGTCAACAATATAAATTTGAAAAGGATTCTGATAGGGGAAAAAATCCTTCTTGTGCATGCAGTTCAATGAACCAATTATAGGTAATCTGATTCTTGTCATTTACTGCTTGTGGTGTAAATGTCTGGTAACCACAAGTTGATTGCAGCCTGTATTTTAATTTTCAGTGAGGCTTACTGGTGGCTCACTGTCATTAAGGATATGCTATTTTGTCAATATTGAGTTAAGAAACAATTAAGCCCCGTGAAAACATTCTTACCATAATCTGTTCCCCTATACTAGACAGAGAAATGAGCACACACGGTTCAGCATCATCAAAAATACATTTGTTATGAAGAGAAAGAGAAGATAAAAGTGTGGTCCTCAGCCTTAGGTTGAATGTGAGAATTACCAATATGATTACATGATTACACGATTATCACACTTATAATTGTGTTCTTGCCAACCTCCTACCAGCTGTGTTCTCTTTGAAATGAAAGAACACATCCCAGTCATAGATACTCTGCAAATTTATATTGAATAAATGAATGAACAGAAATACCTTATATTTAAGATATTTAAATATGCTGACTTGGTCTTTAATGCTGTCAGTTTCAGTTATCACACTAAATGTTTATAGTTTATGTATGTATTGACTAAAAAATTCCACATAATTCACCTATCTACTGTAATTTTATCAATATTAGCCATATGGGTACATAATTTCAAGGTTGTGGTGAAGTTTAATGAGTCTTTGTGAAGTGTTTGTGAAACCTGCAGGTGAAAAAGAAATCTTAGTGTAAATACATGTAGAAATGATGAATGGTTATCTGGAGAAAATGCCAGATTCTTGAAATATCATGGACATGTTACCGGTTTTTCACATGGCCGTTAACTGGAATCGTGTCACATGCCCACTCCTAAGCCAGTCGCTGAAAGGGACTGGAATAACCAACACTGGCTTAGATTAATCAAGATTCACCTCCCTGGGCTGAGAGGGGCCCAGCTTCTCCTACTGTCACAAGCTGCCTGATACCTGAAGAAAATTAGAGTTCTAGCAATGTATTAGTGACAGTTATATTTGGTTGTATATTAGAAGAAACTCAACATAACAGTGCCTATTTTATTTCCCTTTCATATACCAGTTCAGAGATAGACAGTGCAGCTCCATGCATCATCAGGACCAGGCTCATCCTATTTTTCTGCCCCAAAATACTTAATATGTGACTTCCATTGTCAAGGTGGCTGCTGAAGCTCCAGCCATCACTTTCATATCCCAGCTAGGAAAAGAAAGAAGGATGAGCCCCCTTTTTATAAGAAACTGCCTGTAAGTCCAAGAAGATAGACTGCTAAAAACTCATTGGCCAGAAGTTTGTCACACAGTGACAAGGGAGGCAGGGAAATGTATTTGGATGTGTCCAGCCAAAAAATCAGTGTTTGTGACTTAGGAGGAAGGGGCAAATGGGGGATAGAGTAAACAACTATCAGACTCTATCACAGGTAACAATGACAAGAGGATGGCGTAAAAGAAGATGTGGAGTAGGAAAGCAGAGCGTATAGGAAAGGATGAGTTGCCCCTATTCTCCACCATTCCACCTACCCCTATTGCAAGTAATTTTAAGCAGTGAAATAGTCACACAACAAAAGAATAGGAAGGAGAGGCAAAGGACATTGTAAATCAGCAGTGTAGAAACCATATACAGATAATTAGGATCGCGTTTTACACTGTATCATTTTTTAGCCTTCTTAAAGTACTTTACATATGAAAGGATATTACTTTTCCAAATATGGAAATGTGAGAGTCAAGGTATGAATGATCTTTCCAGCCTAACCATCTTAATTAGCAACAAGGTCACCTTTGGAAAAAGCGAAGTATTACCTAGAAGGAAAGGCTTATTATGAAAAGAATCAGGTCCTCTGGAGCTAGAGGAAAGAGGAAAATAAGGAGCTAATTAGCTATAGTAAGCTGTGGGAAACTTATTGATAGATTAGAGTCCATGCATATAAAGTCTCATTATTATAAACGGCAACTCTTTTCTTTATTTTTTAAAGGTAGCCAACCAAGTTGTGCAAGCTCTGCTCACTCAAAAGGTAGGTCACTTTCTGGCTTTATTATTTTCAAAGTACTTATGTGAATAGATTGGAACTCACATTGTCAAACTAACAGAAACTATGATTGATAGCTACAATACTTTTCTATTTATTCACTTAGGTTAAAATTGTGTGCGTTTTAGATGGCATATGCAGTAACATCAATGACCAATAAATTCATAAAATTTAAACTCTTGGGAAAGTAATAGAAAGCCTTTTGAAGATGAAAGATTTCCATGGGCCCACCCAGATGAGTAGCAAACCTATCATTTTTATTTAGTAAATGCAAACATTAAATAAGTTGATGGATTCCTCTGACTCCTATAAAATGAATAGCCTGTGATGGGCCGCATTAACAGAGGCCTAAAATTCAGCAAGAGATCTTTGAGGTTAGGAAGTTTGTTTAACTTCTCTGGACCTTAATTCCTCTTCCGTAAAATAGGGATAACAATGTCTACTTCCCAGAATTGCTGTGGTCGTCCTATAAAACGGAACATATAGAGTTGTTCCCCCAGGAACACGTTTGTGGTAAAGATAAAACAAATGGTGGTATTATATACTTGAAAGTTGCTGAGAGTAGATCTTAAGCCTTATTATCACAAAATAAAAAAAGAGAATTAACTATGAGGATGTGTTAATAATTTTCTGTTAATAAATTTGATCTTGGTAATCATTCTACCATGTAATGTATATCAAATTATCATGTTTTACACTTTAAATATATACAATTATATTTGTCAGTTACTCATAAAGTTAGGGAAAACAACAAATGGTGATTTCTCAGCCTGAAATTTCTATACCTTCTCCTTTGTCATCTTCTTATTCTGCCTTCAGATCATGTTATTGGGGCAGAGTGGGTAAATGCAGGTAGTTGCCCAAATTTGGCAGGTTTGGTGAATTTTACTGAACCTTTTGCATCTCCTTCCATGATGTGTCTGAGAGGCTAAATTCTGATTCCTTCAAATTTTTTTATTCTGATTTTCCTCTCTGTGAGATAGATTTCCTCTTTAAAAGAAAATCTTAGATCATGTGGCATGTTCAGGAGAATGTGGCTAAGGAGAGCAAAATCATTTATGACATTTTGATTTTTTTTAATTGAAAACAATTTTATTAGGGGTTGACTACTTCTCATAAAGGTACTTAAATAAATACTATTTTAAATGTATACTGTAGAGGCATTAGAATAATATTTTTGCTAGATTCTCTCCCCCAACTACTTCTGTCAAAATATCATGCTTCCTGCTACAAATGATTTTAACTGATTCAGATTTTACATTAAACTACATAAATAGAGAGATTTTAGCACATTTATTAGGTTAGAATTAGGTTCCATTGTGAGTAACAGAGAGCCAAAATAATGGTGGCTTAAATCAGATAAAATAAAATAAAATTAGTTATTTATTTCTCAGATCTAAATCTACAGGTGGACAGTACATGACTGGTATGATGACTCTGCTCCATAAAGTTGATAGGGTTCCTGGCATCCAGGCTTCCATCTTATTATTCTGCAGGATGTGGCCTTCATTTCCAGGGTTACCTCATTGTCCAAAATGGCTGCTCTAGCTCCAGTGATCACATCCACATTTCAGCCATCAGGAAGAAATGAAAGCCAAAGAAAATGAAGGGGCTAAAAGACACACGCCTGCTGTCTTTTAAGAGAAACTTCCAAAAGTTTTCACACCTCCCTACTCTCATCTCCATGAACAGAACTTAATCACACATCCACACCTAAGGAAGCTGACAGTGGAGTCTTTATTCTGGGTATGTGCCCAGCTGAAAATTGATTGTCACCTTATTGTAGAAGAAGGGTCGAAACAGATGTTGAAGGGCAACTCATGATTTCTGTCACAATATATTTGAATGCCTTTTCTTTTTCAAAGGCTTTAATTTCTCAACTGCTTTCCTCCTGCTGGAAACTCGACACTCATTTAATTACAAACCTAAGGAATGAGGGGGCACTGTTGCAGCTCTGTGTGTAACTGTTGAAAGACTTCTCATGCCTGTCTTTTTTAATGGTACCTCAGAGAAGAGACAAGAAAGCTGTCTGGTACAATATAAAGGAAAATGGGACCTTTCAGGTCAGCCACAAAAAATAGCTACACAAATTCAAGTAGTAACTAGTAAACAGATAAATCTGCCTTGGTACAGTTAAGCAGTAAGACACAAAAAGATGTGCTACTGTGAGATAGCATACCTCAGGGATACTGTGAAGCAGGCAAAGATGCCTGGGCTTTCAGAGATTCCAAAAGAACCATGTTCTGCAGAAACATGCACTTCCCAGTTTCTCTAGAGACTGTAGAACTGCTACAAAAAGACAAACATTTCTTTTTAATTAAGAGCGCAATATAGGAAATAAAATGAGGTTTCTCCGAAAGCAGATGAGAAACCTAATTCTAAAGAGGGATGTAGCTGGCACAGAGTAAAAAACAGAAACCTTGAGTGATTTATCCAAGTCACACACACACATAAAATCCATGAGGTAAAATTATAGTCATAACCATACAGTTTTGGACTGTATCGTTTATTATGACACAACGGCAAATCTGCCGTGACTTCATATCCTCCTCCCTGGGCAACCAAAAAGGTATTTTTCTGGCATACCAGGAATTGGCTCCGATGAGCATCTTGAAGTCACAGAGTGTATTTCCTTTCCAAATACTGGTAGAAAAAAAATTATTTCCGTAAATTTAGCAGCTTCTGTTAAATGTACATATCATGTCCTAGTCAAGTAATTCAATTTATCTCAAAAATCTGCGAGTTCTCTTAAGAGAGCTGACTGTCCCTCCTTTAGATCAATAACGCTAAAATGACAATATTAAACCCAGCTCACTTCCACTTATGCCTCCAAATCATAGGTCCAAGTCTATAAGTGCAAGTGAAATCAATAACCTGAGCTAAATTCATATTTTTGTCTGAACTATATTTTATCTTCATTAAGACAATTACACTCACTGAAAATGTTACTCTCCTAGGTTCTTTTTTTTTTTTTTTTTTTTTTCCTTTTTCCTTTTTTGCCACTAACACCAAACTTGGAAGAAAAGCATTTTTCCCTGGAGTTATTTTCCAGCATATCAACAACCTCAGCCTTACCTTCATGTTCTTTAGAATCGCCAAATATTCATGGTGTTTTTTAATTTGCCAACATGGGTTAAGGCCCTTGTATGGTGGAATCTAGCAGTACAGCCAACCAGATAGCAGCAGAACACAATTTTGTAGCTTGAAGCTAAAAGAACTCCCAACTTCTACATATTTCCCTTGTAGGAGGTGTGGTCAGGCCATCTGGGTCCACTTGTGTACCAATGGTGTGGGTAGGATCTGGTTTCCTTGAAGAGAGTCTGTTTATATTTACTTAGCACTACCAAGGAGTCAGACCCCATGTCCAGCATTTTGAATGCACTGAATTGTTTTTGTTTTCACTGCCATCTTGTGAGGTAGGGCTACGAAAATAAATTTCCCATAGTTCCAATTGCTAGAAGTGCCAAAGCCCGTATGTTAACCTAGGGTTACTGCACTCCACTCCATGCCCTTACCCTTTGTACCATTCGGTACAAATTTGGACTGTATCATTTGTTATGACACAAAGGCAAATCTGCCATGACTTCATATCCCCCTCCCTGGGCAACCAAAAAGGTATTTTTCTGGCATACCAGAAGAGATGCTATAAAAATCAACAGATGGGTTGAAACCCAATGATTAGTTACATGCGATTGCAGGAAATAAAACAAAAGGGCAAGGAAGCCAGTAGATTTCTTAAAACTTCTGGAAGCATCGCCAGTCCTCGCTAGCAAGGCTGTCCAGGATCTGACATGCGTGGAGTCAAAAGTGACTCTAAATTTGGAGATTTCTCCAAATCAAGCTTTCTAAGAATCAGTCTTATTTTAGACCCCAGAATTTCCCAACTGCCAGGGACCTTAGTGAACATTTAACCCTGAGCTTGCCAACTAGCTTTGGTAATAGGCTCAATTCACTGTAATGACATAAACTGTTTAGCCATCACCCAGATTAAGAATGTTTTCATCTGAATGCCCTTTGGATGAAGGCTTGCAGTATTCAGTTTGCCACGAGATTCACCACTTCCTATTGATTAGAACTGGCCTGATTCAGTGATACAATTATGTTACCTGTCTTGCCTTTTTAAGTATTTGATGTTGAGGTCCTTGGTTGGTCTGAGATGTGACCAGCCTTTTCCAGTAATCCTTTTCTTTTTACAGAAGTATTAGCATTCTTAGAAGAGATAGGGATATATCAGTGACAGACACTGAGAAGGGTTGTGACTGGGAGAGGCTGGTGGATGTGGTGTCCAGTAAGCTTAAGGGAAGGATTCAGGTGGCCCTTGACAAGCCATCTCATGAAGCAGCTGAGGCATGCCTTGTCTTGAAAGCCTGGTTTTGTGCAGAAGCTACCTGTAAGGTGAGGAAACTGAGGCGTAACCAGAATAAGTTACTTCCTCAAGGTCATGTGGGTAATGAGGACCAGAGCCCAGGCCTCCTAACTGCTAATCCAGTGTGTTCCCATGATACCCACTGCCTCTGAAATAGGAATACCAGTATAATATCATTGTACACGATAAAATCAGATTTAATCAACAGTACTCCAGTGGTAATATCAGTATATATCGAGCTTCTAATCAACCAGCATTTCCCTAAATTTCCTTTAACCTGGAGCTGGCAATGGTTTTGCTCTAAATGCATAAAGTAACCATACTCCATAACTACTACACAGCAGTGAAGCCAGAATCTCTTTCAGCCCCAAACACAGGTGAAACTTGTCAGGAGTACAATGTGTGGATCCTCCGGGGAAGTTATGGTTTGGGATCATTAAGATACACAGGGCCCTTTTAGACCAGTAGCATCACAGTGCTCAGTATATTTTCCCCTGGCATCCAGCTGTAATGCCTTACTTTGTTTCAATTGAGAGTGGCATGCAGATTGCAAAGAAAACAGGTTGGGCTATTTCCTTGAACCCAAAGACCACTATACTTGCTTACGTGAGATGAAATGTAGTCAACTCTTTGGCATTTTTTCTTCCTGATAACATTATACAACACATCCCCTTTTTTTTTTCAAAAGACACAACCATATATTTTCAGTGGGGTCCTCCCCTTGAGGCCTGAGACATACTAGGGAGCAGAGAAAAAAAAAAAGGTTGTGGATGAGGGCAGATGGTCCAGCCCCTGTTGGGAGCCATGATCTCAGAGGCTGGCCTCTGAACAGGAGAGTTCTTTAGCTTGTAACGCCTTACCTGGGGGGCATAGTCTAGTTCTCCCCTCTATAATCGACAGCATTAGAACAGTGGCTCTTGCACCCAGCCTCAAAATGTCATATGGGCCTTTATGTTAGTGGGTTCTCATGGTGAGCCCAGGGGAAGCACAGACAGCCCGCTGACACTCTGCCTAGTAGTCAAGGAAACTGTGGTTTTTCTCTCTCTCTTTCCATCTCTCCAGTCTGGCTGTGTTTATGTGTGTGCACATGGGCACACACACATGGCTTTGATTACAGTTTCTTGGGATGACAGCTGTCTGGCATCACTTAACCATCCACAGCTTGAGTGAAGAAAACAAGAATGTTAAAACAACACAGAATATTCTTTTATATCTACAAATTTCCTGTCCAGCTCAATTCTGTTGGTCAGTGATTGTAAGAGCAGCGTCACCTTCCTAAAGCCCTCCATTCCCCCCTCTGCTCTGTGCCGATCGAGATGAGCCACGAGTGATGAACGGTTCTCAAGGTCGATAAAGTGTGTTCCTGCTAATGAACTTTTACTGCCTTAAGTAACAGTAATGGCCATGGAAATTTGGGCACTGGTACAAAAACTTGCTTTAGAATATATTGATTTTTTTTTTTACCCATCTGAAGAAATCTTTTCAAGTTATTCTCAGTTTTGCTACTAAAAACTGTTGCTGGTATTCCTTACAAGTCTCCTTTCTCCTTGCAAATCCAAACTCATATGCTTCTGTTTCCATCCCCCCCACCCCGCAAGTGAGAATGATTGTGTTTTCCCACCCAATAGGTACTATTAATATTTATTTACCTCACAGTCAAGTTTTATTAATTGCTTAATTAGCAGTAGTGAAAACAATTAGCGTTTGGGAGCAGGGAGTGTTATATACAGGCTAAGAACAAAAATTAGCATTAGCGAGACACAGAGGTTGAATTCTAAATAAAGACAGCAAATTTAGCCTTTTAATTTGAGCAGTGCCTAGGCCCCCAAAACAGCCTCTGCTAAATGGCACGCACCCCCCCCCCCCCGCCCCTGCTTTTACAGCTGCTGCCCTCCTACAGCTTGCACCCTGGTTGCCTCATCTGGACATGGCATTCCTTTGCTCTGCTCTGCACTTGTAGGCAGCAATCAGTTGAAACCATCCTACGCATCAGCTTCCTTATTTAGCTAAAAAGGTGAAGTGAGCGTAAGCTGTGCGCTGAGCTATAGCTTGGCCTGTCTCTCTGCCTCCTGTAAATAGAATGAAGAAGCCTGGCAATGATGATGCATCTCAGGGAAAGCCTCGGAAGCTAGACCTCTCTCTAGCTGCACACTTAGGTTGCCCCAAAGTTATGTATGAAACAGGCGCACTCACCGTTGTGACTGCTGTTTAGGTCCCGGGGAGCAGAGCTGTGGACTGGCACCCTGTCTTGCTTGCAGAGCCTTAAGTGAGGCCTGTAGCCGCCCCACCTCAGAATACATAGGTAGACACACTAGCAGTGTTGAGAAACTTAAAACTCTCTTTATCACACCATCACTAGAGAATAGAACTCCTCATCATTGACCCCTTTAACGAAATCAGCACACAATCTTATCAAGCTCCTACTGCTCTGTGGGGTGTTGTGCTAGGTGGTGAAGGAAAAATGTCAGAACAATATGCTCGTGCTGGTGTTTCTGTGAGTATCTCCTCGTGCCTTTGGAGGAGCGTGTCATCTAATTGACAAGATAAGTCCAGAGCCTGAAAGCAAATCAACACAGAGCAGTATCTCACATTAGCCGTAGAAGAGGCATCGAGGGCTTACTGGAGTTCAGGAAAGGGAGCAGATAAAAGCGGAGGGTGCCAGGTAAAGGCGTGGGAGAGGAAACAGAATTTGAACTGGCTGTCAACCGAAGAGCCAAAGTTGGACCAGAAGAAGGAGGTGGATGAGAAGCAAAAGGGAGGTCGGGGAGGGGGAAGGAGGCAGAATGCCTGGTGCTTTCGAGAACAGGCAGACCCTTGTTAAAGAACAGGGTAAGAGCATGGTAAGAGCAGAAACCTTTTTTTTTCAAATCAGGAAATAGTGTAAGATAAAGTTTGAAATGTAGAAAAGGGTCAGCTTTTGAAGAACCTTGCCTTGGGGCTTTATTCTACCTGGTGTTCCTTGAACCCCACCAAAGAGGGTGTAGACATGTCAGTATAAGTACTGTCTTTATCACAAGTTAACTTGGAAGGCAGCTCCTGGGTGGGATTCTAGAGCATCCTAAAGCTCCCGCATGTCAGCCCCCCTCATGAAAGCTCCTTGGTGTTTGAACTATTCAAAAGAGCTGCTCTCAGGGGATGCTGAGGTACGGTTCTTCTACTTCTTCCCCAACACTAAGACCAGAACACCCCAAAAGATATGGAAATCCACTAGTTCAGAGGATGGGAAAGTTTCAAGTGGCCTTATAAGCCTTCACTCCACAGTTGCTTCACTCCGTCTAAATGCATCACTGGCTCAGTTAGCCGCACTGAGAATTTCAACTCGTTTCCGCAAACGACAGAGGAAGCTTCCATCAAAAGTGATAGTTTCCATACGGTATTTGTTTTTCTCTTTCTGACTTACTTCACTCTGTATGAGAGACTCGGAAAAAAAAAGTCATGAAGAATCTAGGGGTAAGATGGGAATAACGACACAGACCTACTAGAGAATGACTTGAGGATATGGGGAGGGGGAAGGGTAAGCTGTGACAAAGCGAGAGAGCGGCATGGACATATATACACTACCAGACGTAAAATAGATAGCTAGTGGGAAGCAGCCGCATAGCACAGGGAGATCAGCTCGGTGCTTTGTGACCACCCAGAGGGGTGGCATAGGGAGGGTGGGAGGGAGACACAAGAGGGAAGAGCTATGGGAACAATGTATATGTATAACTGATTCACTTTGTTATAAAGCAGAAACTAACACACCATTGTAAAGCAATTATACTCCAATAAAGACGTTTAAAAAAAAAGTGATAGTTTCTTTAGTTGATCAAATCTATTCACTGTGAAAACATTGTCCTGTGGTTTGTGCTTTATGATTGCTTTTATGAAGACAGTGAAAAAGCCAAATATATAGGTGGAAACTTAAATTGACTTTATATTGCTGAGATTTACCATCTTCAAAAATAACATGCTAGATTAATGCATTTCTGATTTCAAGGTGCTTTTTTTTTTTTCAAGTAGGTCTTCCCTGAACATAATAATTCTATCAGACAGTGGGCTGTGGAAGAAAACATTGTGTGTGATCTATTTCTGGGGGGCTTGAAGGCTTAAAATACTATTTTTTACTAATATGCCTGAAATATCAGATGAAGTATAGTGTTAATATGCAGAAGTGTCTTAATGGTAATAGACTTTTTTTTCTTTCAATGTGTTTGTTGCAGGATCTAAGGGAGGAATGTGTAAAGTTGAAAACGAGAGTGTTTGATTTGGAACAACAGAATCGAACGCTAAGCATCCTTTTCCAACAGCGAGTCAGACCAACTTCTGATCTGCTCCTCCAGGTATGTGTTTCTGTGCAAAACAGTCTTTGCTACTGAAATGCTATTGACAGGAAGTGAGTTAACTTCAAAAGCTACCACTGTCTCCATGGGCAAGACATATTGCATCAGAACCTCCATTCTCTCCCCTCTCAAGGGATGTCATTAAAATTGAATGTCTCTTAAACCTCTTGACTCTTTAAACCTAATTTTGATAAAGAAATGCATCAACACATAATAAACAGGTAAAAGGAAACAATCAGAGGTATCAAGTGAAACCGGGGAATGGAGTCAGCAAATAATTGCTTGCTCTGGGGACAAGTATTAGTAGTCTTGCACTCCCTGATAAGCAAGGCGGGGTTTTATGTGATGCCGAAGTACATTTCTTTATTTCAAACTCTCTGTAAGCAAAACTACAGCTGGGCTTTGTTGTACTTTCATCTCTCTCTCTGTCTCTGCAGCCTGCCTCCTCACAACCTAACACACTCCGCCTTAGTCTTTTACAGGTTCTCTTCGTCTAAGCGTTCTCACCAAACTCTTCCAGTTGCCTTCATAACAGGGAAAGTTGTGGAAAGGCAAACCATTTGAATCGTTTTGAAGCTGCCCCCCGAGAAAGCACTAGAAAATATATCTGAGTGCAGGGAGACACGTGGATTGGCAGAGGGGTCTAGAAGGCTGATCTTTGCTGTTTCCTATTTTTTTTTAATGCTATTAATGTTCATATTTGCTAACACAAGCTCCAAGTTTGTAAAGGATATAACCCCCAGCTGCCTGGCCTGATTGACTAAAGGAAAGGGGAAAGACAGAGATACCCTCTAGACTAGCCTGTCACCACTGTAGCCGCTAGCCATGTGGTGCTATTGAAATTAAACATTAATTTAAATTAAGTTTCTATGTCAAACTAGTCAGATTTCAAGTGTTGAAAAGCCACACATGGCCAGCAGCTACCATATTAGACAGTGTTTGTACAGAACATTTCCATCATGCTAGAAAGTTCAGCACTTTTCCAGATGGTTGAGACAGTGTTGCTAATTTACCCTCTGAACTTTGGCACAAACATCTTTCCCTGACTCCTCAGGGAAATAACGAGAAATTGCAGTTCATTTCAGAGAAGGAAAGATGTTTGGTAAAACCGCACATCAAAATGTAATCCCCCCCCACCTCCGATGAAGAGAAAAGAGCTCTCTGAATTGTAAAATAGATCTCATCTCTTAAATTAATTTTCTCTCTGCTTTATCTATTAGCGCATAATTCATAATTTATGACTCATAAATTGTGTGGAAAAAAAATCATCTATCTCTATTCTGTTTCCTGATCCTGCCCACGAGAAATGTTGGTCAGAGAGAATCTTGCATCTGTTAAAAGTTGTATCTCATTTGCTCTCTTATAATCAAGATCCACTATTGTAATTGCTTTTGACAGCTATTGCATGTTCATGAATTTTTCCGTTTTACGTGTTTTAACTTGAGGCTTTTCTGGAACAATTTTTAAGGATCTACAGTCCCTGTTTGTGAATCATGATGGTTCATTTCCACAGTAAACACATGTGCCATAGATATTTAAGCTTCTTCATTGGCTGACACAGATTTCTTAAATACATATCCAACTGGCAGGGGATGGTGTTTGCGCAAACAATAGAACTCAGTGTTTACTCCTTGGGTGCCTTCAGCCAACACACTGTTTCTCCCCAGATAGACCTCACTTCCAGGAGCCATTCTAATTTAAATGCAGTTTGTAAAAGATGGGCTGATAGTAGTTCTGGACGTAGAATAATAGCAAGGATGATGCCTGCCCTCTAACATCTAAGGGCTCACAGTCATAGACAAAGTTGCTGGTTTTTCAGGTGGTCTGTTCATTATACGACCTGTGGTTTTTTAATTTGCTGGTGGCACAAATACATATCATGGAGCACCGGCTAAAGGAAAAGCAGTCTGAGCTTGCTTTGCACCTGTGGAAGCTCTGTAATTATTTGTTGAATGGAATAATGAATAAATGACCCAGATTCATTCTGCAAGTTGGGGAGTTACTTTACATACACCTAAGAGAGGTTTATACCCCTACCTCTTCTTCTGAATGTTTCCTGTCTTGTGTGGAGGCTTTGGAACTATGCAGCCATGCTGGTCCAGCCCAGTTTGTTTGAGGGTGTGGCTGGTGAGCACAGCAAACCCAGCAGTGTGCCTGGTCCCGAGTATGAGAGATGTTACAGCTTCTGCCCGTGGACTGGAGCTTCGGTACAGAAGATTTCTAAGCAGGTTTCTATGTATCTTAAAAAACTGCATTAGTTGTCATCTGCTGAATACAGCCTAATGATTCTCTACAATCTAAGTAGCCGCCTGAAGAGAAATACAGAAAGAAGATTGTTGAACCCATTGTGATTTTAGTAGATACATTGTAAGTTGTAGAAAAGAAAATAATTTATAGGAAATAGCTAATTATTTGTCCCTCAAAAACAGAGAATAAGAGGTTACATGGATATTCTTTAGCAAATTCTGATATAAGAGGAACAAAAAGGGATAGTTCTAAGAATTCGTTGACAGATTCTGGGAAACTTACAAAGGGAACCAGTCCATGATGGGAAAGGAAAGAAGCCTAACCTGAAATTTAAAATCTTAAGAATGGCCATAAACTTCTCTGTCGATTCCAGTTTCCAGAAAAGCATCTCTGGGACTATGGGTGGAAGCAAGTCAGACTAATAAGGGCCTCCATATTAAAATCAATAATTTGAGCTAAATTCTAATGGATTAAGAAACCAGTGTAGCAAATAAAATCTAAAAGTAACATTCTTAACGGAACCGGAGTCTATAACTAACCTTATTTGAACTCACTGGCCAGATTAACCAATGCTCACCATTTCCTCTTATAAATTATATTAGATTACACTCTCAATTTACGAAACATTGACAACTAGTTGAAACTCTCTACTAAGAGTACTTAATTCTCTTACCAGTTGAGTTGAATTTCCACCATGAATGACTTATGTTTGTAACTCAGTATGTTCACGTGACTAGTACTTGTCACGGTGATTATGAAATTTTTAACTACTTTATAAACTGATGAAATGTGGTGCAAAAAGGGTTGTTTCTATAAAATAAAGTTGAGTGCTTCAAAAACACTATAAAGACACGTCCCTAAAAACGTTTGTGATCAAATGAAATATAGGTGTGTAACTGCAAAAAAAAAAAAAAATGCGGGAGATGGGGAATTGAATTAAATGTAGAGGCATTCTGCTTGCAAATTGCTTCTCAGGTGGTTTTAAGTTCTTGTTCCACTATTAAGAAAAACAAAACCTAGAAATCATAGACAATGCATAAAGCATGTGTTTGATGCCCAAAAAAAAAAAACACAAAAGACATTGGAGGACTCTAATAATATGATCCCTAGGCAAAAAAGCCAGCCTTGGCCCTACCAAAAAAAAAAAGTGCTAGATACTGTTCTACAGCCTTTATAGTGTTCACCAGTTTATCTCCGTTACAGTACTTTCACGTACGAACTATCTCTATACCCATTCTACAGATGAGGACACTTAGGCACAAAGAGGCTGTGTCACCCAGTGGTAATGGACAGACTGGGGATTTAAATCCATGGTCAGGGTCCGCTTCCTCCCTTTCACTTCCTGTCTGTGTTCCCTCTACATGGAATACAAATGGACACGAGGAACACTTTTCTGATTCTGTACTCTGACAGACATTTTGATTAACGGGCCCACCTGTGCTCAAATCAGTTCAGAGGGCTTCTGCAGTGTAATCGCCTACTATATTTACACATTTCTGAAAGCCTCTTGATCTGTAGCATCCAAGATTTTCCCCTCTCCTGTGTGTTCTGCTCTTGTCTTGCTTTGGACACCTGTGTTATCGTCATCTTGATAGGACATTAGTCTCATATTTTCCACCTAACACAGTTTATTCTTCTCCTTTTTATCTGATATTTCAAAGGCCCTATACTCATATCCTTGGGCCAAGATAGAAAGAAAAGACTGTTATAGTGTAGATTATTCTCACAGACAGTTGGGAATCTGACAGCTTAGAACCAAGGTGTAAAACTTTGCTGTCACTTCTGAGAGCGTTGACTTTTTTTGCTAGTGTTTTTATATTATTTCAGATGAGATGAGACGATTTTAAAATTATCTTTGTGCTTCTGATGTATTTTTCGTTCATTGCATCTTTATTTAATTTCATATGCAATTACGGCATCCTAGAGTTACATGGTACTGACGGTGGAGGTCATGCAGTGCAACCCCCATAACTAGGGATTTCATGTTAACTTTTATTTCACCTAAATAGGAATCTCCTTGAGGGCAGCAATTATGCTGTGAATGTTGCATTTTACCCTCCCACAGATATTATCACCATTCATAATACATAGTCAGTGTATACTTGGATGGCTTAACATTTAATTCAATATTTTTTTAACTTTTTATTTTATATTGGAGTATAGCTAATTAACAATGTTGTAATAGTTTCGTGTGCACAGCAAAGCGACTCAGCCATACATATACGTGTATCCATTCGCCCCCAAACTCCCCTCCCATCCAGGCTTCCACATAACATTGAGCAGAGTTCCCTGTGCTATACAGTAGGTCCTTGTTGGTTATCCATCTTAAATATAGCAGTGGGTACATGTCAATCCCGAACTCCTGAGCAATCCCTTCCCCCCACCCTTCCCCCCGGTAGCCATAAGTTTGTTCCCTAGGTCTGTGAGTCTGTTTCTGTTTTGTAAATAAGTTCATCTGTATCATTTCTTTTTAGATTCTGCATATAAGCAATATCATACGATATTTCTCTTTCTCTGTCTGACTTACTTCAATCAGTATGACAATTTCTAGGTCCATCCATGTTGCTGCAAATGGCGTTATTTCATTCTTTTTAATGGCTGAGTAATATTCCATTGTATATATGTGCCACATCTTCTTTATCCATTCATCTGTTAATGGACACTTAGGTTGCTTCCATGCCCTGGCTATTGTAAATAGTGCTCCAGTGAACATCGGGGTGCATGTATCCTTCCAGGGGTCCATGTTTTTCTCC